GGGCTAATCAGGTACATCTCTGCTAAATTAGGCCTTCTCCGGGGGAACCTAATTAGCATTACTTTTCCTTGCTCTTTTACCAGAGATTCCACTAGGCATCTGTCCCTCTTTGCCTTCAGAGTCCTCATCTTGGATCCTATTTACAGGGGTCACTCATTCTCCACCCACAAAAATCATATTTATTGGATTGGGGTCCTCTCCATAAATCTGTCTCTGCATGAAGTCATCACACTAAGGGCAGCCTGTTGAGCTGTTTCTCCCCCCCCCCCCCCAAATACACACCTTCTTTGTTGGTGGAGTCATTCTTGCCCATGTGGCTACTGGACCTCTGTTTCTGTACTACTCTTGCCACAATACATTTCTTGCCATATTTTTCTGAGGACAGGCACACTGGATCCAAGATGGTTACTTTGACCCCGCTATAGGGTCCTACATGGTCATTAGTGAGAGCCATATATGTTGCTTGTGCTTTCTTAGGTATATAGGCTACTAGTCAGAAGGCCCAGATTATTCTGTCTCAACTGACTCCTATCCTCTGTGCCTAGTTTCTCTTTCTCCTTGTAGAACTCAGTAAACTTTGCAGAAATTTTGCTAACCTGGGATTGCTCCTATATAAATTCTTGCTGTCATTTTTGCTGCTCTTTACACCAAACAAGCAGGGACTATTTTTCTGTGTGGTGAATTGTTCGAAGGCCTACAGGGTCTGGTACAGCTCTCTTTGCTGCTGTACCAGCCATTGCGGTGTTCCTGGCATAGCCCTGGCTGCCAAACATCTAGATTCTTTGTCAGGTTCCCATTTCACACAGATATAGGCACAATCCTGATCAAGCCTCCAGGTTGTGGTGGGGCAGTATGGCACATCCCTATGCCTTCCATGAAAATGCTACAGAGATCTTCTTGCTTGTAAACATCACTATGTAGTTTGCTTACAGTATTTCAATCCCTCTACAAATACATAGCATTCTCTCCACACCTTTATACACTGTATCTCAAATTCCTGTCCCTGTCCCCAAAAGGGGAGGAAGAAAAGGTATTTCCACTCAGAAGACCGCCCTGCTGACCATTCCACCCTCCCCCCTGTACTTTACAAAGCTTTCCTAACCTTTTGTTTCTATTTCCCCCCTGAGCACTCCTTCCTGTTCCCTGTTAGTGGTGATAATTGGTTTATTGACTGTCAACAATGTGGCCGGATAATCCATTGCACCTCTGTCTAATTAGGTCTTCTCCAGGAGAATTTAATTAATATAAATAGTGGTCAGAGTGCTGGCTCAGGTGCTAACCCACAACACTCTCTTTTTAACATTAGGAATGATAATGTATTTACCATTACTGTGATATTAACACTCGGTTTTAAATATGAATGCATAGCTGAATGAGATTTGTACTGCAGTTATTTGAACAAATCTCATTTGTACATTAAAAAAACCTATTGTTTTATTAATAATTATTTCCCCATTATTTCATTAAAATAATAAAATTAATCCCAATGAGGGCCTGATCCAAAGCCCATTGAAGTGAAAGTTAACATTCCCATTTTGATTAAGTTGTAGGAAGTCATTGATAGAGTCAGGAGACCAAATTCTGCTTTAATTTACATGAATATAATATCCGAGTAGTTCCTAAATATACACCCGGAGATTATACAGAGTCCACTGTTATAGCTCAGCTATAGAATGACTGCAACACAAACACTACCAGCTACAAATTATAATAAATACTACTGTACTTTTTGATTCACTACTCAGGAATGAAAGAAAGGTGCCTAAGATAGGAATGTGCTTAGCTTTCAAATCCTACATATGAAACATAGCTTGTTCTTGAGTAATACTCAAGTGAATTCCAAACATTTTTTTAAATTTATATGCATTGAGAGATCAAATATTTAAGCAGATTTTCAAAACTGACTTGGCATGGTGATTTCTAACTGTGTTTAGGAATGCTCAATGCTCTGGGGCATTAGTCTTCCCTTAAGGTGCTTAGTACATAGGTGGTGTTACCTTTTATGGGTGCAATGTGTGCAATGGTGAATTAGACAACTGGTTATTAGGAGAATTTGCAGTGAACTGGACTCTCAAGTGGAAAGGCTTTTAAATAGGAGAGTTCTTTTTGTGGAAGATAACACTTCTTTGTAATTAGATACCTAAAATGACTCACAAAAGAATGTAGTAACACTAGAATGAGGCAGAGAAGCATTAAACAAATCTTTACCAAAGTGCCTTGGTCCCAAGCAGCTTGCAGTGAGGTCTGTGCCCAACCCTGGGGAAGGTATAGAAATATTTAATTAGGAGCTCAGGATGGAAAGGGGAGGCAAGGGAAATCTAGTGGAGACATCCTGAGTGGAAGAGGTAGAAGAGCTGGAAGTGCTTTCCCAGCCCAATCCTATAGTCAAGATGCAAGAAAGAAGTGGGAGAATGAAGGTCGACACAGTTTGAAAGAGACTTTGTAGATTAAGGATAGAAATGTAGCCGTGTTAGTCTGGGGTAGCTGAAGCAAAATGCAGGACAATATAGCACTTTAAAGACTAACAAGATGGTTTATTAGATGATGAGCTTTCATGGGCCAGACCCACAGCTCATCATCTAATAAACCATCTTGTTAGTCTTTAAAGTGCTACATTGTCCTGCATTTTGTTGTAGATTAAGGACAGTTTATTCCCACCCACCCCAACTAAAACAAACTGTCTTTGCTGTTTTCATTCTACCATTTTAATTTTTTGAGGGGATCAGGCTGACAAAAGCCCCAGCCTTAGCTCATAATAGCCCCATGTGGAGAAATGCTCTATGCAGTAGTTCTTTGTGTCTTGAAGTGGCAAAATTCAATAGTTGGCATCCTTTCTTCTCATTTTCCCCATCTTATTTTTATGGGGCTGACTTGAGTCACATTTGTTTTTACAGCTGTTTTCACATGGACACACAACAACGTTTAATTTTAAGTCGGGTGTGGGAATAGTGAGTGATAAAGGACTGATTATATAGGACTGGAATCTAAACTGTTCATTTCTAGATTTTCAGATATTTATTTTAAAAGAGTTTAGAATTATTCTAAGAAAAGTTAATATCTTGAGATGCTAGCAGGAATCCATTGAACCACTCTTTCAACCTTCACACCCTTTTAATATATATTTGTTTTGTTTTCGAATATTGCATTGATTTTGACAAAGGAAGGAAATATATAATATGAGTTGTATTTAGGCACACATCATAGACAATAAGAACAAAAGCAAAGTACTCCACTTAGGAAGGAGCAATCAGTTTTACATGAGGGCTGTGTCTAGACTGGCAAGTTTTTCCGCAAAATCATCTGCTTGTGCGGAAAAACTTGCCAGCTGTCTACACTGGCCGCTTGAATTTCCGCAAGAACACTGACGATCTCATGTAAGAGCATCAGTATGCTTGCGGAAATACTGTGCTGCTCCCGTTCGGGCAAAAGCCCTCTTGCGCAAATCATTTGCGCAAGAGGGCCAGTGCAGACAGCACAGTACTGTTTTACTCAAAAAAGCCTCGATGGCTAAAATGGCGATCGGGGCTTTTTTGCGCAAAAGCGTGTCTAGATTGGCACGGACGCTTTTCCGCAAAAAGTGCTTTTGCGGAAAAGCATCTGTGCCACTCTAGATGCTCTTTTTCGAAAATGCTTTTAACGGAAAACTTTTCCGTTAAAAGCATTTCCGGAAAATCATGCCAGCGTAGATGTAGCCATACAGAATGGGAAGTGACTGTCTAAGAAGGAGTACTGCAGAAAGGGATCTATGAGTCATAGTGGACCACAAGCTAAATATGAGTCAACAGTGTGACACTGTTGCAAAAAAAGCAAACATTATTCTGGGATGCATTAACAGGAGCGCTGTGAGCAATACGAGAAGTAATTGTTCTGCTCTACTCTGCACCCTCAACTGGAGTATTGTGTGCAGTTCTGGGCATCACATTTCAGGAAAGATGTGGAGAAATTGGAGAAAGTCCAGAGAAGAGCAACAAAAATGATTAGAGGCTTTGAAAGCATGAACTGTGAGGGAAGACTGAAAGAACTGGATTTGTTTAGTTTGGAAAAGAGAAGACTGAGAGGAGACATAACAACTTTAAGCTCCTAAAAGGGTGTTATAAGGAGGAGGAAGAAAAATTATTCTCCTTAACCTCTGATGATAGGACAAAAAGCAATAGGCTTAAATTGCAGTATGGGAGATTTGGTTGGACATTAGGAAAAACTTCCTGTCAGGATGATTAAGCACTGGAATAATTTGCCTAAGGAGGTTCTGGAATATCCACCTTTGAAGATATTTAAGCACAGGTTAGAAAAATATCTGTCAAGAATGGTCTAGATGGTGCTTGGCCCTGCCATAAGTGCAGGGAATAGACTTGATGAACTGTTGAGGTCCTTTCCAGTTCTAGAATTCTATGATTCTATGGTAGAGCTGAATCAAGGCCATTGGAATTTCTGGTCTATCCTTGTAACTTTGCAAGGTTTGCCCAATTGCATGTTCTCCAGTGCTCTGTTCACTTATATTTTACATGCAATCAAGCCTTAACCTCTTTACATTGTTAAAGCATAACTAATCTGAATTACTAATTCTGAGTTCAAAGGTGTGATTAACTATCCACTAGGGGCTAGGTAAGGACCAGCAAGGTTATTTTCCTTTTCAACTTAGCTCAGCTTTGAAGTGAAGTTCCAGTAATCCTGTTATTGGAAAAGAGGCTAGAGTATTAATTCAAATTAAAACACCAAGAGCCATATTCTTCCATCACTCTACATTCAACACTCGCAATGACTTCTACCAGCATTCTGCATGTGGAATTATGGCAGATTTTGACCTTTGGCCTTTTAATTTTACTTAATATAGGTTAATGAGAAATTCTCCTTTAGATGCATCTGTACAGCTCACACTGAAAAACATGAATCATGAGTACACAACTGGGAGTGGATTTTACTCTTGACATTTACATATATTTTACCTTTTAAACTTGTAACATATTGTGATTTTTTTTCTATTTTTTCTTTGTTTCTCTAAGCTGTCCAATACCATTTTGGATATATACAACAGTGACCAAGGAATGTCACCTGCTAATATGTGTCTTACAAATGCTTCCTGCCCGTCTACTCTACCAGTAAAAAGGGAAATCACAGGTAATATTGCTCTGGGATTTTTGCATGTAATCATTCAGAAGGCAGTGATGTCTTGTATTAAAGTTCAGTGAACTTTTCTAATAAAATATTTGTGAAATACATAGTAGTTTTTGCTTAAGAATTTGTAATGTGTAATCCCTTTAAGGAATTGAAGAAAAGGTGAGGGAAACGTTTACACTGTGTCCTCTATTTTAGCAACTCAGAAACAATTTGTACTCTGTCATCTTTATGAACATCATGCTTCTAATAAACCTAATTATTTTAGGAAACATAGAGGATTCTTCCACATTTTGGCTCCTAATCAACAGTATAAATAAATTATCGCCCATTAAATTTGTTCCAAGATTGAACAAATAGCTCTTTTAAAAGCTACAATAAGTCTATTCAAGGAAAATCTATATTAATGGATTAACAACTTTAAAAGTTATGTTCAGTTAATCCAAAGAATGCTAACAACCATGTACAGTTTATTAGTGTTACTCAAAAGAAACAATGAGTTTGTTCAATATGAATATCTTAGAAATCTGATTAGCTCTTGCATTATGGGATATACAAATCCAGATTCACATTAGTTTATTGTAAAGGTTGGGTGTAGGGAGACACTTCCAATGTAAAATACAATAAATTGGAGAAAAATACTAAACGTGATGTTCTTTCTTAGTACTTCTAATTTTTTAATTTAAAGTACATGTAATAAAGTCTTACGAAATCTGTCAGACACACTGGAAAATGCAATACCGATCAATTAAGCAGTATTCTTTAGTAAGTTTGGAATTTATAAAAATGTGAAAGTCGTTGCCTAAAAACTTTGTCTTAATGAAAATGGGACAGTGTGATGGGGACAAAGTAGCAGACGTGATCAAAGGACTGTTTTAATAAATGTTACTTTCTGTCAGAAGCAGATACACGAGCAATGGCAAAGGAGAGGCAAAAAAAGGATAACCACAACCTCAGTGAGTATATATTCTACTTCTATATCATAATATGTTATGTGCTGAGGAAAAAGAATTAAAGTGTACCAGCTATCATCTATCTGCTGGTGTCCAAGACTAACAGAAAGAATCTGTTTCTAGAAGGGAGACAAAAAAGAACTTCACAAATACATTGCTTTTTTTCCCTGAGATGATAAAATAATACTGTGTACTAGTATAACATTTTTTCACCTTTGACATACTTTACATATTTTCATGAATTAATTCTTACAGCATATAACTTATAAATATGTATTCTAGTATTTAAATAAAAGTGTCAACCAAGACTGAGGCTCCAATTTTTAGGCACTGTACAAATAAATAGCAAGAGATGGTTTTAGCCTCAAAGAACCAGCACTCCAAACAAAGACAGACAAAGGGTGAGAAGGAGCACTTAAGCAAAGTGACTTGCCCAAGTCACACAGTAAGCTGGTGGCAAAGCTGGAATGAGACATGTGGTCTGCTGACTCCCACTCTCCATTAAACCATATTGCCTCCCCTACATCTGAATAAGAATACAGAATAGCAACTGAGATCCAACTATTAAATGGCTCTCCAATGCTGTGATCAGGACTAGATCTCAGGAGTTCTTATCTCAACATCTGCTCAGGCAACAATTGACATAGGTTAAGCAAGATACTTCCTGGTGTGGTACTAGAAGTGTAGTGTCACTCAGCCACCCAGGCAAGTTACTCTTCACTTGTGTAAAGTAAGCTTTCCTCACTTAGCTTTCCTCCACCAGAAGGTATCCTTGTTTCCATTCAGATGTTTGTGGAAGGGTCTCTTTGGGTTATAAACACACTCTGGAAATCTTTCTTATGGAGGCTTTTGCTCCCCTTGTGGAGCCCTACTATAGCCACTGCCTATTTCAGATGATTGGCCAGAAAAGAATAGTTACTTCTAAAGGAGGAAAAGTCACAGGTAAGACATTTCTGGTGAGTTGTTTGGACTAATGAGAGGGAGGAAAGAGAGAGGAGCAAACCTACATTTAGGGATCCAGATCTTGTCTTTCAATAGGCTGCTCTCTCTGGGTATGTCTACACTATCACCCTAGTTCGAACTAGGGTGGTAATATAGGCAACCGGAGTTGCAAATGAAGCCCGGGATTTGAATTTCCTGGGCTTCATTTGCATCTTGCTGGGCGCCGCCATTTTTAAATGTCTGCTAGTGCGGACTCCGTGCTGCGTGGCTACATGTGGCACGGACTAGGTAGTTCAGACTAGTCTTCCAATTCCGAACTACCTAGTCCGTGCCATGTGTAGCTGCGTGGCACGGAGTCCGCACTAGCGGACATTTAAAAATGGTGGCGCCCGGCAAGATGCAAATGAAGCCCGGGAAATTCAAATCCCGGGTTTCATTTGCAACTCCGGTTGCCTACATTAACCACCCTAGTTCGAACTAGGGTGGTAGTGTAGACATACCCTCTGACTACTAGGCCATAATCACCACACACAAATTACATAATTAGGCATCTCAGTGAATGAAAGAAGGATGCATTTAATTGTACACAATATTGGAGGCTGGGTGGAAGCATAGCTATATGATATGACCACAGTAATCATCCATGGGGCATGTTCCACATTGCTTTGGTTCTGGGTGTATAATTTGGAGCTCAGACTCTCTCTGGAGGCTAACCCTACTTTTGTTTGTGCATTTTATGGCCTTGAATATAAAGGCTTTGCTGGTTAAAAAGTAACCCTTTAAAATAATGGTAGAAATGTAGCTGTGTTAGTCTGGTGCAGCTGAAACAAAAAACAGGACTGTGTAGCACCGTGGTCCCCAACACGGTGAGCGCTGGCCCCGGGGGCGCCGTGGATTCACCCCCCGCGGTGCATGGGGTGGGGAGAAAGCACTAGCGCCGGCCCCGGGTGCGCTGCGCTTGGGGAGAGAGCACAACAAAAGACCAGTTGACTTTATATGCAATTTTTTTCAAGTCACTTAACCTTTCTGTGCTTAGTTTCCCCATATGCAGAATGGGAATAACATTTTACCCAACTTTATAAATTTCTTTCAATTTTCCGATAAAAAGTGCTATATAAGTGCAAAAAGCAAATATTCCCTACCCTGTAAATTCTCTATCTTTGAAATCTTCTGCATCACATGAGACACTTGAATTAGTGGCCTTAATATTCATTTTTACAATGAGCTTCTGGGCATCCGCCTGCATCTTTATCAAACATTATGAAATATATGTGCACACTTTCACAGATATGGCCTTTGGAAAACTGTCTGCAGGCTGGCAATAACTACTTCTGTATCCAAATATGAACTGCCTTGAGTGGAAGTGATCAGAATTTATTTTTGGACCAATGCAGATACGTGGAAATTGAAATGTTTTGCGAAATATCCTTACAAGTTCACTTAGTACTATTTCTGTGTACTATTTACATCCTCCCCGCCCAATCCCTCTTCTGTTCTGAAATTTGATTTGTCTTTTTCATATGTGTTCATTTTTTTAATTGTATCCTTTGGTATATATGGTTGTGACAATTTTCTTCCACTATTTGATCTGAGGAAGTGGGTCTGGCCCACGAAAGCTCATCACCTATTAAACCATCTTGTTAGTTTTTAAAGTGCTACACAGTCCTTTTTTTTGTTTCACCTTTAAAATAAGTGCTTCTGTGAGGAACATATTTTTAGAGATGATCTGAAGAAGATGAAAATTACACTAACATTCGGATACCAGGAGGAGTTAAAAGTTCACATTTTGTAATTATAATCAAAATTTTATAAGTACATCTGAAGAAAAACTGTAAAAAGAGGCCCTGTGAATTTATTGACCATAATCATAGAGGTAAGTTTGGATCTAAGAAATCACTTCTAACATCTAGGAAACTGTCAGAGTTTGGACCAGTTTCTACAGTTTTAAACTTAAACTTCAACTTTTATTTTAAAAAAATTACTGGAAGTTTCACCAGGTCAACAGTCACAGCTTAGCTAGTCCATAATGGAAGGAGTAGTGGCTGATGGCTTTATGCAATATTTTGTTTAGTTATCTCAAAAATAAATTCCATGTGTTCACTTTGGTACAAAATGCTGTCTCATTGTCCTTAATATGCTGACATGCTGATGATATAACTGTTTTTCCCAGTAATGCACTCTCCCATTGGCAACACATAAAAAGGAGAATACATCCTTTCATAGATAAAATTATTAGCCAGGGGACTAGACATCCTATTTGCGTCTACTTTCTTATTGTTTCAAAAGAATTAATGGGGTGTGGGAATGTAAGTTGCCTGATACTCTGTTTAGCTGGATAGATACTTGGCTTAAGTGGCCAGGTATTCTTTCAGTGACTTGTCTCTTAGAAGGAGGCAGGTATTCCCGGAACTTTATTCTTGGCTTATCTACATAGTGGGCTAATGTGCTTTGTGGGGAAGTGTTTTCTAACGCTCACTGTCATATTTCACATTAATTGCCCCACATAGACTCTACTTAGGGATATTAAATAGTGCTTAGGAAGCTAATCAAGTAATCAATGGAATTTCCATCAACTACTCAATTAGTCAATAGGGGGATTCGGAGCCGGGAATCAGCTGGTCTGGCTCATGCCTCGTCCCCCCACTGCTCTTCTGCTTTTTAAATTTATTAAGCACCTGTTGGCTCTTAATACATTTAAAAAGCAGAGGCACGGCACCCAGTCCCCGTGCTACGCCTCTGCTTCCCCTTCCCCCCACAGAGACGGTGTTAGGGGCAACTGGCTTTTAAGCCGGCTCTCCCCAGCACTGGATCCTGCACACTCCCCTTGCTGAAACAGAGGCAGCAATAGGGGGGAAGCGACTAGTTGAGTAGTGACTTGACTACCTGATGAACCTAGGCTTATTGTCAGTCGACTGGTTGACTAGTCGCTTATATCCCTAAATCTACTAGTGCACTTTAATGTAGTACAGTTTGAAACAATATTGCTTTAAAGTGCACTAGAGTAACTTTAGTACTCACCACTTGGGTGCCCGTGGACTGATTAATGTGCCACACAGTGTGCTTTAGAAATCATACCTTGTAGATTACATTACACTATTGGGTAGATAAGCATTCAGTGTATAGAGAATTGGAGGAAAATGGTTTGGAAAGCAAGAGTGGTGAGAGGGGGAGGGAAGGAAAAAAGAAGGTGAAAGAGTGACAAAACTATTGATTGAGGGAGACTTTCCCGTATCTTGCTGGACAGCAATGCTATGTGGATGAAGTTTCCGAGTTTCCAGACAAAGAGGGAAGAGCTTTCAAGAGATGTAAGCTATTCACTTTTCCTTTTTTCCCCTTTATAACTAAATTGAGAATGTTTTATCTAGATCATCTTATGAGCAGCGTTAATCTAGATATGTCAGGGAAATAGCTTGTTTTGTTTTCATTTCATTTCCTTGTTTCTGATAAATCTTGGTTTGGGTAACTTCTATAGACATATGTAAGGAGAGGTGTTGATAGGTAAAATCTTTCTGGAAAGCACACTTTACTCAATCTCTTCTGAGGAGCAAAGTCAGAGGTGCCCTTTTCCAGTGATTTACATTGCTATCAAAGGAAGAACCTGAAGCACCTACAAGGAAACAAGTGTTGCCCAGGCTGTTGGTCACAATCCATAAAAGGAGCTTTGACAGATTAAAGACTGTGGGATCAATCTTATCATGCTCTGAATGAAGTAAAACACTGGAGCTATCAGCATTGAGTTCTACTTAGGAAGAATTTGGCAAATGAGAAGTTAAGTATGACCTTGTAAGCCATATGAGTCCAATTCATTCCTAGGATTGAACCACAGTGGAGAAAAACACAACTACTGTGAGGACTAATGGTGACCATTGCAGGCAGGAGAAGGAAATGCAGAAGGGACAGACACAGGCACATCAGAGATGTGATAATGGGGCTTCTATGAAACCCCAGCCATGGTAAATGGTGGCAACCTTAATACCATCTGCTCTGAGGTAATTCACCTGCAGGTAGAGCTGCCTTGTGGTTGGAGGGACATGAATTTGCTCCTTCCTTTTTGGACCACAGAGGTAAATCAAGCTCTGTAACTATATTTTACATTAAAAATCAAAACAAACCTACCGAAGGGATATTGAGCTATATAGGTTTTGAATTTGACTTGGTAGTTTATTATTTCTAAGGTAATTTTAGGATTAATTCTATCATTGTGATTCAGAATGTCCTTACATTGGGCCACTTGTTTTAAACTAATTGCAATGTTTCATTAGGCCTTTCCAAAAGACTATTTCACAACGAAAACAGTAAATTGTTCTCTTTTTTTAATAGTTGAAAGAAGAAGAAGATACAATATTAATTATCGAATCAAGGAGCTTGGCACACTTATTCCGAAGTCCAATGATCCGTGAGTTCAACAGTTATTTCTATAATAATGTCTAAAGTGTAAACACAGAGGGGGAAGGAGTGATATGATAGCCATGAGTCTGGCTAATGAGATACAGAGACGTTCACTTCTAGGTCACTATTTCAAAGTCAGTCTAACTGGTCAGGTAGGAAACAAAATCATTAACCTCTGATGGTTGTAATGTAAAGAGTTGGTGGTTTTATCATTCCGTTCCTTCAGAGAGAAGTCTCCACACCACAAAAACCACCATTACATCTAGGAATAATTGCTATTCCTGTTTGGAATCTCACCAGACAGGCCAAGGGTGGACAGATATTGGAGAATGAACTACCTTTTCACCCTAGAGATGGTATCTTTAATGGAATGAAACAGCACGTGCACTGCTACTATCCACTCTCTAGATACACAGAATACTTCAGTCTCTGAGGCTGATGATTTGGCACCTTTCATAAAAACCACATTCGCTGAACAAGAAGTTGAAAGGCAAGGGAAAATTAGGTATTTTAAATAGATACAAAATGTCTTTGTATTTTAAATAGATACAAAGAAAGCTACCTTATTGAGGTTAGAGCATGTAGGGATAAAGTGAGAAAGGCTAAAAGTCAGGTAGAGTTGGACCTTGCAAAGGGAATTAAAACCAATAGTAAAAGGTTTTATAGCCATATAAATAGGAAAAAAACAAAAAAAGAAGAAGTAGGACCACTAATTACTAAGGATGGAGTGGAGGTTAAGGATAATCTAGGAATGGCCCAATATTTGAACAAATACTTTGCTTCAGTCTTTAATGAGGCTAATGAAGAGCTTAGGGATAATGGTAACTTAACAAATGGGACTAAAGATATGGAGGTAGATATTACCATATCCGAGGTAAAAGCCAAACTTGAACAGCTTAATGGGAGTAAATCGGGGGGGTCCAGATGGTCTTCATCCAAGAATATTAAAGGAACTGGCACGTGAGCTTGCAAGTCCATTAGCAAAAATTTTTAATAAATCTCTAAACTCAGGGGTTGTACCATTTGACTGGAGAATTGCTAATATAGTTCCGATTTTTAAGAAAGGGAAAAAAAGCGACCCGGGTAACTATAGGCCTGTTAGTTTGACATCTGTAGTATGTAAGATCCTGGAAAAAATTTTGAAGGAGAAAGTAGTTAGAGACATTGACGCTAATGGCAATTGGGACAAATTACAACATGGTTTTACAAAAGGTAGATCGTGCCAAACCAACCTGATCTCCTTTTTTGAGAAAGTAACAGATTTTTTAGATAAAGGAAATGCAGTGGATCTAATCTACCTCGACTTTAGTAAGGCATTTGATACAGTACCACATGGGGAATTATTGGTTAAATTGGAAAAGATAGGGATTAATATGAAAGTTGAGAGGTGGATAAGCAACTGGTTAAAGGGGAGACTACAGCGGGTCATATTGAAAGGTGAACTGTCAGGTTGGAGGAAGGTTACTAGTGGAGTTCCTCAGGGATCAGTTTTGGGGCCAATTTTATTTAATCTTTTTATTGCTGATCTTGGCACCAAAAGTGGAAGTGTCCTAATAAAATTTGCGGATGACACAAAGTTGGGAGCTATTGCCAATTCAGAAAAGGATCGGGATATCATACAGGAAGATCTGGATGATCTTGTAAATTGGAGTGATAGCAATAGGATGAAATTTAATAGTGAGAAGTGTAAGGTTATGCATTTAGGGATTAATAACAAGAATTTTAGTTATAAGCTGGGGACACATCAGTTGGAAGTAACGGAGGAGGAGAAGGACCTCGGAGTCCTGGTTGATTATAGAATGACTATGAGCCGCCATTGTGACATGGCCGTGAAAAAGGCTAATACGATCTTGGGATGTATTAGGCGAGGTATTTCCAGTAGGGATAAGGAGGTGTTAGTGCCATTATACAAGGCATTGGTGAGACCCCATTTGGAATACTGTGTGCAGTTCTGGTCTCCCATGTTTAAGAAGGATGAATTCAAACTGGAACAGGTACAAAGAAGGGCCACTAGGATGATCCGAGGAATGGAAAACCTGTCTTATGAAAGGAGACTCAAGGAGCTTGGCTTGTTTACTTTAACCAAAGGAAGGCTGAGGGGGGACATGATTGAACTTTTTAAATATATTAGAGGGATAAATACCAGGGAGGGAGAGGAATTATTTAAATTTAATACCAATGTGGACACAAGAACAAATGGATATAAGCTGGCTAGTAGGAAGTTTAGACTTGAGATTAGACGAAGGTTTCTAACCATTAGAGGAGTGAAGTTCTGGAACGGCCTTCCAAGGGAAGTAGTGGGGGCAAAAGATCTATCTGGTTTCAAGATTAAACTAGATGGGTTTATGAAGGGGATGGTTTGATGAGATAACATGATCTTAGTAACTAATTGACCATTCATTATCAGTGGGAAATAGGTCAATGGAGGGATGATAGGAGTTACTATAGAGAACTTTCTGGGTGTCTGGCTGATGAGTCTTGCCCACATGCTCAGGGTTTAGCTGATTGCCATATTTGGGGTCGGGAAGGAATTTTCCTCCAGGGTAGATTGTCAGAGGCCCTGGAGGTTTTTCGCCTTCCTCTGTAGCATGGGGTACAGATCACAGCTAGAGGATTCTCTGCATCTTGGGGTCTTCAAAGTATTTGAAGGCTTCAATATCTGAGATATAGGTGAGAGGATTATTCTAGGAGGGGTGGGTGAGATTCTGTGGCCTGCACTGTGCAGGGGGTCAGACTAGATGATCATAATGGTCCCTTCTGACCTTAAAGTCTATGAGTCTATAATTTTATGCTAATGTACAAACAAATGTACAGCAACTCAAATGTTATACTGCAAAACCCTAATGCATTCTCTTAAGCCTGGACTATCCTACATGGAAAGGTTGAAGTAAGACATGCAACTCCGGCTAAGTGAATTATGTAGCCGGAGTTGACATATCTTAAATCCCCATCCACACAGCGGGAAGGTTCCCTTACTCCTTGTGAGGAGTAGGAGTACCAGCGCCGATGTAGGCACCCTTTGAGTTCGATGTAGTGGGTCTATACTACTCCTGCTAAATCAAACCCCGGAAAGATCGACCATGGCAACATTGACCTTAGACATACCCTTAAGGTTTATATTTTCATCATCTCTTTTAAATTAATTATAGGAAAATAGCTTGTGTTGTTAACAGTTTTATTTAATAAATAGTATCTAAAGTTTAGCTTTGGGGAAGTCTTTGCAATAACCATAGCCAGTTAAAAGACACTACTTTAACTGTCTTAACATTGAAAAGAGGGAAGCACTGACCATCAATCTGCTGGCTTTATCTGGTATTAGCAAACTTTCAAAACTCTGCAGCAAACAAAATGGAGGAAAATGACACACCATGGTAAAGTCTATTGTAGGATTAGCAATATCAATTCAGTAAGTTATTTAATGCTTAGACTTTTAGCCTTGGATTTCTCATGTCACTCAGTGAAGCCTAAAAGACTGCACCAGTGTGATTGTGACTTGGATATAATTGGTTATACAAATATTGTGGGATTCATTTGTTCGCCAGTGGCAGCTTTGTAATGCTCAGAATATAATTATCTGTTGACACTTCAGCCTTTTTTCCTCAGGGCTAAGAAGTTTTTATTAAATTATGGATTTTTATAACAATTTAAAGCTGTGTGAGACTTACAGAAGCATAAGCTTGGCATGACAAGCCACTATGAGTGAAATCGCCAGTGAGAAAGTTAACACAGTTATAGTCCTTTGTAGGGAATGACATTTTCACAAGCTCAGCTCATTCTCTGGCATCAACCCAAAATGAGTAAAATGAGCAAGTTATTTTTGATGCTACTAATACATTGATGAATGTGCCAATTCAGTTGATTCAGTAAAGTCCCTTAATAAAATTTTGTTCACATTGGATGTCCTGTACAACACATTGGTAATGTTGTTTTAATTGTAGTGTTATATCTTACAGTACTTTAGACCATTTTCGGTAAAGAAATGTGAGGAAATATAACTCTGAGAAACAGTGGATGGCACTGTTGGTTTGCAGTTATGAAGCGCTAATGGATGCAAGTCTGAAACTGATTAGAAATAGGTGTGAGCTGCAAACTTCAGATATGAATCAACATTTGTCAAAAGTATTTAGGGGTGTTTGGGTTGAATATTTTGGTTTGGATTCAAGCCTTGTTTTGATATTTCATACATTATACTGATCTCATGTTAGAACACACAAAATTGGGCCTTAAATCTGTTGTGGTACAGGATGGATTTAAATTATGTCACTCAGTGAATCCTAAAGAGTATGCTGAGGCAAAAATAATGAAGATGTCACATGGTTGATTTTTTCCATATTTGATTAGTTAGATGACATCACAGTTACAAAAAAGTGACCAGTGAATTTGACTGCCTCCATTTTTGAGTGCTCAGGTGGAGGTACTTTGAAGGTGCCTGATTTCAGTACATTCTGAAAATCAGATCCCTTTGAAGTAGTTCAAGTTAAGCATCTCAAAACTGAGACACTCAAGATCACTTTTGAAAATGTAGCATGTTTAATCTTGAAAAAAGATGTGGGGGGGGGGAGGAAGAGGGGGATAGGCATTATAACAGTCTTCAACCATGTTAATGTCTGTTACTAGGAGGACTATGATCAATTGTTCTTCATGTCCACTCAATGTAAGACAAAAAGTAATGGGTTTAATCTGCAGCAAGAGAGATTTAGATTAGCTATTAGGAAAATCTTTCCAACTATGAGGACAGTCAAGCACTAGAATAGGTGACAGGCCGTGGAATCCTCATCACAGAAGGTTAAGAACAGGTTAGATATTCACCTTCAGTAAAGGTCTAAGTTTACCTGGATCTGAGTCAGAGTAGTGGGGTAGACTAGATGACCTCTGAAGATCTCTTCCAGACCTATGATTCTATGGTCTACTTTTACAAAGTAGATTTTGCTTCTTAGAGGTGTTTCTATCTCACTTCGTTAGTATGTACTGAAATTATTTGGATCCAGTTGAGCTCACTCCTGATAA